CATATGCAATGGGCAATGATGTTTGAGAACAAGGTGAAGGCGATATGTTAAATGGGGAATTCGATTCGAATGTAGTTTTTGTTGACGTTTGAACTTGCAATTTGTTCCAGAGGTCTCAATGACCGTCTAGCTTTGAGGGTCAAAGTTTACGCAGCCACCATGGAGTGGCTGTGAGGATTCGAAGTAGCCGGTTGCCGCTATGGCACTACTATCGCAGCAGGCCTTGGCTGACGCAACTGCGGCCTGTGTTCAGGCTTGTGGCCAGGTCCCTGAAGACCAAGCGAGCTTAGAAGACTGACCTTGCGGAACCGCATCCGCTCATGTGGGCGGATGGTCACGCTGTCACAGCAACGAGCTGGTTTGAGCAGGGCATTAGGCCCCCTAGTGACTTGGATCGACAGAGAGCCGTCACTTCGCAATTTGGACGTCGCTACTCGATCAGATCTTTTGTGGAACCTGTTTACGGCTGGGGTGTCTAGGACCCAATCCGCTGAAAGCTTCCCACTAGTCACGGGAGATGAGAACCAATGGAACGACCTGGTAAATACAATAGTCCCGAACACAGTTCATAGCAGCACAGCCGCAGACAGTCCGTCCACTTCGCATGGGATATGGCATCTGCAAATCCTTTTGGTGGGCTTGGTGAGCTTAGCTGTTGACCCCTGGATGCCTTCAGACAGATGGCGCTTCTACACTACTGCATTAGGTACTTTCCTAGTGGCATGTGCAGGTATGCTTTGGACTTTTGGTTGGACCAAGGGTCCTTGGAGGCTGGGGTCTGGCAGGGTTGCAACCTTTAGACCTAGTGAGCACACAACACCATGGGTCAACGATGTAGCTGGGGGACTTCCCACACTTGAGCCAATCTATGAGAGCGTGCAACCTTCAGCACCTCCACCGGGGGTGCCACCAGTGCCTTTGTTGGAACAACAAGTAGGCCCTCAAAGTGCTGTCGAGATGTCAAACAGTGCCGGGTGGTCAGTGGGGCAACGATGTGTACTGCTGGCCATCCCTCCATACACAAGTCTAGCTGGACAGTGTGGACAAGTGACTAAGTCAGACAACGGAACCTACACAGTGCAGCTGGACAATGGATTGAACCTGACAGATGTCCCTAGTGTTGCCTTGAGCCGAATCCGAAATGGACCAGAAACTTCGGCCGTGACTTCGGGAGCGCCTGAGAGCGCACTGTCAGCAAATGCAACAGTGTTTGCACCCTATGCTGGTTTGGGTGGTGGCACAACCAAGCTGCAGCTTCAGGCTGCACGCCTCAAGGATTCATTGACGAAGGCACATGGTTTGGCCGCCAACACCCCACAGTGGGGTGGCCTTTTCTGGCAAGCTGTCAAGAATGAAAAGGACATCTACGGCATTGAACCCGAAATTGGAAACCTCTTGCAAAGTCATGGATACATTGGAGATGGAACCATTGGACCTCCACGAGCAGAAGAGCTCAAACGAGCCTTACAAGAAGTCGAGACGTTGGGGGCACCCGCCCATGGCTCAGGAGGCACCTTTGCTCGAGTTGCCGATATCGGACAAGGGGATAATCCAGAACAAATGGCTTGGCACTTGAAGCTTCCTGCCGACCTTCAACGAGCGGCTCCTGAACTTTACAGAAACATCAGAGCGGAAGGAGTGTCCTCGGTTCGACAATGGGTGAACGATCAACACCCGTCGTTGGAGATGAAACAATCGTCGACGTACCAAGACTTGTTTTCTGCAGCTACGATCATAGACTTCGAGTTGGCCGATTGCAAGTCCGAGGCAGCAGTCATGCACAAGCTGGGGACCTCGGATTCGCTAGAAATACAACTTAGGAAGTTGGGGGCGCATGTTTACTTCAGAAGGACGAAGGACAAATTCGGAGCGAGCAGGATGTTAGGGGTGAGAGCACCAGGCTCCCAAAGTGACATAGCCCCAAAGTGGCTGCTCGACGAAGCGAACCTTCATTCCAAGGTTGAGTGGCAACGTACAGAACGTGGGCAGAAGATGAGTCGCCATGAGCACACCGAAGGAGGCCCCAAGACGAAATTCGCTGGAAAGTTCAGAGGCCGTGGAGGTGGAGGCAAAGGAGGTGGAAGAGGAAAAGGGGGAGCCAACACTCCCCCAAAGACTCAAGGGTGACACAGCCAGACATCAGCCTCACCCGATGGTTTGCCGGGGGAGGCTGATTTGTTTTTGCATGAGCAGACCAACAGTCACACGGCTGAGGAAATGCAGGCCGTGGAGGAATTTAGAAGACAGCTCAATGATTTGCCGCTGTTGCCATTGCCCAGTCCACCAAGGCCAGTGTGGAAGCCCAAGAGATCACCAAGACTGCGTCAGAGACAGAAGCGTCGACTTGCAGCCTGGCGGGTCACTATGGGCATGGTGAAGACCATAAATGGCCTGGACGACGGGCGAGTTGCCAGTAAGCTGACGACACCTGATACAGCTGGAGAGTGGACACGTATGAAGGTCACAGCTGCCAGGTCTCTTGCGCTGCAGCATCTTCTTAGAGAGGGAGCGGCAGTCGCACGGGCACGCCGGAGCCTTGGCTTGACAGGCGTCCAGACCTCCGAAGCTGTGAAACAACTCCTGAAACAACCTATGGATGAACTTGGTTATTTGAAACTCAACGATGTCAAACAAGTCCCACTCATAGCTGATAGAATTGCTGAGCCTGCATGTAAGAACTTCATTGACATGTTGGACGCCCTGCCCCATGAAGACGCAATTTTCTATGCCCAGGAAGCTCATGTTGTTGACCCGATTGGCAAGTGCGAAGTTTTCTTTCGAGAGGCCGAGAAACATTATGGGTTCATAGGTGGAACAGAAGATGAGTACTTGAAGTACCTGGGCAGGGAAGATGTGCAGTACCTGTGGGAGTGGGACACCTTGGATGGCATCCGCGCCATTGCAGGCGTGTCAGCGGTGCCTAAGAAGGACCCACTCAAACAGAGAAAGTTGGTGATGCAGGTGGCGTCAAACTACATGTTCACCGATCCATCTACGAGGGCTCATTTAGGCATGTGCGGGGGAGCGGCGTTGTCTCGTTGTTTCGTTCCTTCTGACTACATGCATGTGGCCCTTTGTGATGAGGATTCAGCATTCACTTTTGTCAAGGTTCCTTCATGGATGTCTCGATGGCAGGGAGGACCACCGGTTCTTGCACACAGGGCTTGGCATCTTCTTCCAGCGCATGTAAAAGAACGTATACATGATCCACATTCAGAATATGTATCCCCACGTTACCTCCGCCTGGCCATGGGAGGATCACATTCGGTCTACATCTTGATGCGCATCAACATGGAACACATAGGCCGTTCACTCATGCAGTATGTCAAGGACAACCCCATGAAGAACACACAAGATGACATACCTGACACTGGACAGGCCGTGGACTACGAGCACGTAGACGACCAAGCCCTCATGACATCTGATGAGGACTGGTTGAAGCTCCAAACCAAACGACGTGGAGACGAGAACACGATCGGGGCTTCGGGATACACAGTCCAGGGCTGGTGTGATGAAGTCCGAAGAGTGAAACAGCAGCCGGACAGGACTATGGTGGTGATGCATTTCTTTGCAGGCGAGAGACGTTCAGGTGACATAGAAGAACATGTTAAAGATGAGGCACTTAAACTTGGGTTGAGACTATTGTTCATCAGCATTGACCTTGCCACGGACGCTAACTGGGACTTCACGCTGCCGAGAACATTTCACATGATCATGAGTCTCGTTGAAGAGGGCCTCATCGATGCAGTCATTGGGGGCCCCCCTTGTTCTACTGTAGCCAGAGGCAGACATGTGCGCATTCCATCTGGACCGAGGCCGCTTCGATTTCGATGGTGTGTCTGGGGACGCAGTGACCTCAGTCCTCACGAGAAGGCCAGAGTTGAAGAAGCAAATACGCTCTGGCTGAACTACATGGCAGTGTGTGAAGCGGTCTCATCAAGGGGGGGAATACATTGGTGGGAGCACCCGGCCGATCCAGGCAAAGATCCTTATCCTTCAGTGTGGATCACGGAGGAGATGATTGGTTTGGAGAGGCGGACGGGAGCGATCAGGGCAATCTTCCACCAATGTCCTTTCGGGGGAGCAGTACCCAAGTTGACATGCTTGTCAGGCACAATGATGGACCTGCAGACGCTGGATGGTGTCATGTGCCCAGGTTTGAGTGAAACACATGTTCATGGTCATTCAATGGGAAGAGATCCAGAAGGGGGGTTCTATTCACGCAAACTACAGGCCTATCCAAGTGACCTTTGTCTTGCACTAGCTAAGCTCCTTGTCAAGCACCTGGCCGTCTTGAGATCTCGTGAACGTGGCCCCACTGGTGCTCTGCGCCAGGCTGATGATCTTCCGGCGCCACGAGTTCCAGCTTGGAGCACGTGGGCGTCGCAGAGAGGCGAGGGGGTGACACTCCTCAACGAAGCAAGTACGCGGAAACAATCGGTGAGGCTAAGTACAAGACAGTCGGCGGTGTATGTACATGTCGCTGATACCGTATGTGTCAGTGATGGACATGCCACTTCGTATGAGGCTGACAGACTGATGAAGCACATTGTGAACTCTCTGGAGGCGATTGGTTTTGGTGTGTCACAACAGGAGACAAACGACAAGGTGGAGAAGGTCGTAGGCTATGAAGTGTCTAGACATCCTGCAGTTTTTCGTTTTCCCACAAAGAAGATGGTTTTACTTGCGGACTCCCTCAAGTACCTGACGTCACGCAGAAGGGTACAAGTAAGAGTGCTTCGATCGCTGGTAGGCCTGTGGATCTTCGGAGCGTTGCTGAGGAGGGAGCTTCTGTCCATTCCCCATGCACTGTTTCATTTTATTGAAGAGTTTGACGGTCAGACAGTGGTTTGGTGGCCGAGTGTTCGGGAAGAAGTGGTAGCTATGGCAAGAGTCATCCCTCTCATGTCATGCCATGTGGGTGCAAAGTTTTTGAACTGGATTTTTGCCACCGATGCAATGGGTGTCAACGAAACCGACCTAGGCGGCTATGGCATCGTCATGAGCCCGCTTAGTGAGGCAGAGATAGATGACATCCTCAGACAGGGTGAGTCAGAGGGCAGGTCGATCGCACGACTTGACGGTCAGGGAGGTGCAAAGTTTCCAAACAAATCTCTGAGACCGACAGTGCCTTTTACTTTGCTCCCGGACTCACTGCTGACGGACGAGCGTTGGCATCTGGTAGAGGCAGGCCGCTGGAAGTATGGCGACCACATCACGGTGGGTGAGTCTAGAACAGTGGTTAAGCTCCTACGAATGTTGGCAAGTTCAGTGACATGTCATGACAGTGTGGTCTTCTCACTACAGGACAACAAACCTACTGCTTATAGCATGGCTAAAGGAAGAAGCCCATCCTTTGCACTAAACCGCGTACTTCGAAAGAAAGCAGGTATTTGTTTGGCAAGCAGAATCAGACTTTTCCTGCCGTGGTTAGAGTCAGGCAGGCAGCCGGCTGACGAAGCATCTAGGCTTTACTTTGAATGAGGATAGCCGACGTGTGCTCCTGCATGCGTAGGCTACATCCGGACTTAGCAGCAAGAGTGAAGAAGGAGACCTTGCAGACCTATCGAAAAGCACTTGACCCTTTTTTGGACTATTTGAATGACAAGTGGGAGTTGAATAGCATTGAGCCGGCCGACATTGATTTGCTGGTCCTCGAATACCGCAGTGAACGCGAGTTGACGAGGAGCCAACACACTCAACTGCTGGCCTCTCTGGAATTTTTCATGCCGCACCTCAAAGGAACCCTGATTTACACCAAGGAGGCCATCAAGGGTAGGTTGACAGCTGAACCAATACGACACACAGTACCTCTGGCACCAGAAGCAGCATACCTGTTTGGGGCATACCATGCTTCACGGGGCAATCAACGATTGGCCGCTGCGATATTCGTACAACTGGGTACTGGGCTTCGACCCTCTGAACTTTTGGGGCTGAACACTGACCATGTCTTCATCCCGAACAACCAGTCTGAGTTCATCAACATTCGTTTGGGGGTCACAGTGTCCACCAAAATCAAGAGGGAACAGTTTGTTCAGGTCAACCCGATGGAACAACCGCTGGCACACAAACTACTGCGACTGTTGCACACCTCGACTCGTCCGGGCGGGAAATTCTTCGACTTTTCCTACTCTACGTACAACAGTTCCTTTGCTGAAGCTGAACGCCACTTTGGCCTTGAATTAGGCCTGACGGCACACTCAGGTCGTGCTGGTTTTGCAACCGGTGAGATCATGAGGGGGGCAGATCCCAAGGTTGTGCAGTCCGCAGGGCGCTGGCTGTCAGAGACAAGCTTCAAGACATATATTGACACAGCAGGAAGTCTTCATGTACGCACTCAGATCTCGTTTAACAACTTGCTGAAAGCAGCCAACTGGTGTAAACAACACATTGAAGATTACTTTGTAGGTCTTTCCTGTCTTGATGGTGAAGCCCAGCCGGGCAGATTCGGTCGATCGCATGCACCGACCGGACCTCCGCCTTCGCGAAAATCGCTTCCTTTTGCCCCAACCTCCGGAGCATCTCAGCACGCACCAGAAGCGAAAGTGGAGAGAAGAGCAGTTGACAGCACTGATGGCCCCTTCCACACAGAGGGCCTCAGACAGCGCCGGGCGAGCCTCGGGGGCACCGCCTCAGGCCAGAGCAAAGGTGGCTCCAGCACCAAGGGCCGTGGCAGGGGGAAGCTGCTACCGCCTGGCAGAGCGCCTCAGTCGATCTTTGGCTAGAAGTTGCCAAAGATGGTGCAAGTCTTTTTTCAAGACCTTCGGCTTTTTCCTTGTGCTAGCTAGCGGAATTCTCTTGTCAGGGCAACACAACCCGCTCTACCACGTGGCTCGCATGGTGGGAGCCATGGCAGATGTGGGAGAGGCCACATCAGCAGTCACAGTCCACGCACTCAATTTGACCAACCAGGTCGCTCATGCAGCCACAACGTTTGTGGCAGTTGCGGCCAACAACGGCCTTACGGCTGGCTCGAATCTGTGGAAGGGAGTAGACCTCGGCCCCGTGCGGGCTTCTAGATGTGGTGGTTCAGTTGTTGTCACAAATACTCATGCGCTGCAGCAGTGGCTAGACACACCAGCAGCTGAAGTGCACTTTGGTTGTTTAGACAAAGGCTTGAAACAGCGCTTGATCATGGCAACTGCTTCCATCCAACATGATTTGCCCTACACTCAGGCAGTTTCGGATGATTTGGACCTGCAAGGCACGTATATGTCTCTCAAGGTTGGAGCACAACGCATTGAGGACACCCGTGTCTTGGTCTTTTTTGAATACATCCACCTGTTTTTCGAACCACGATGGGCAAATCCCTTTTGGAAACACTTGGGATGCGCCCTTTCCACAGAGCGGGAACAGATGCTCAAAGCGCTGCGTATGCTGCTGCTGGAGCTGCCGGCGCCTCCGCAACAGCCGGCCTTGGTCTACGCTGAGCTCGCGGCCCTTCCGCAGCCGCCAGATGATGCCTGGCCGCTCCCTTTTGCGGCTTGGTGGCTGCGCCTAGCATGGTCAGTGCCTTGGAACCAACGTTTCCTCTCGGGGGACGGGGTCATTGAGACAGGACTTTCGTTCGTCGAAGCTGTGGAACCCTCGTGGCTTTTTGCTGGAATCTTGTTTAGCACGATTTCCCTCCACGCTTTGCTCAATCTTTTTAGGGAAGGCGGCTTTCGTGACCGTGAACGCCCCCTGATGATTTGTGCAAGTGGTCCAAATAGGGAAAATGTGGTGAACGACGGGCTGAATCTCCATTCGTCCAGTCGGCCAGCCTCAGCTGTTCACACTCCCCGGCCGACAACCACGATTTGTTCGGCCTCTCCTAGTGAATTTGAAATGGTGGAGGGAGAAGTGGACCTGACAGGAGCTGAATGAACTGGTCGCAGGGCGGGAAGGGGTAGAGCTGGATCGTTCTTACGCTCGATGCCAAATTTTGTTTAG